GTGTGTGTGTGTGTGTGTCGCGTGTGTGTGTGTGTGTGTGTGTGTGTGTGTGTGTGTGTGTGCGTGCGTGCGTGCGTGCGTGCGTGCGTGTGTGTGTGTGTGTGTGCGTTGATTGTTGGTCACCTTCAGTTCAACCTCACAGCCTTCTTGAACGCTTGTGCTGGTGAACTGCGACTGCTGTCACCTCTTGCAGCGGATGGGATCGTGTCCAAGTCGGATTTCTGTACAGCAATGACAGCATATTTACAGCCCAACACACCGTCTTCAGAAGACAGCGACGAGCAATGGGATGCGTGAGTACTCCTTCCTTGACTGGCGTGTCGCACCTTCCCACACCTTGCACACTCTGCCCCATGTTATCACACGCGAGGTACTCGTACACAGCACCGTGCCTGGCCGCCTCTGCACCACCACCACCACCACCTCCACCGCTGCTACTGCTGCTACCACTGCTACTGCTGCTGCTGCTGTCACGCACAGTCAAACACCCACTCACTTGCTCGCTCATTTGCTGGATGTTGGCAGATCCATAGATGCGGCGCTGCAAGACACGTTCTCAGACCGTATGGTTGCAGATGGACCCCAGTCGTGGGGTCCACTTGCATCCATGTTCAGAGAGCTTCAAGTCACGTATGGCGTGGACAAGGCCGCTGTTCGTCGCCTTTGTGAGGTATGTGCCTCTTTGCTTGAAACCGCGTGCTCACGTGGAGAGCGGCTCGCGGAATGCACGCATACACACACGCGCACGCACGTGCGCACACTGTGTCCTTTTCACACGTTCTCATTCATGTTGTCTCTTTCACAAACACACACATACACACACACATACACACACACACATGCACACACATACACACTCCCGAACCCCCCCCCCCCGCCCCAACTACAGGCGGTTGGCACATACGCGGAGCAGCAGACGGCTGAGCTGTGTGAGGAAGAGAGTGCACTGCGCCGGCAATACGAGCGCCTGACAGAGGCACACAACCAGCTCACGGAGGACTTTGCACGCCTGGACAACGACCTGCATGATGCTCTTGCTTCAAAACAGAAGGCCGCAGAGTGCCAGGCCGACAACACACGTCTCCATACCACGGTACTTGCACGGTAGCCCTTCGGTTTTGTGTTTGGAAACGCTAGCACTTGTGTTGAATGCGATCACGAAGGCGTGTGGTGTGCACGCGATTATCCAGGTCGTATGTTACTATCGTTCTCCCCTATGCCTTTCAATGTGTGTTTTCTCGTTTTGTTTTTCTTTGCGACTGTCTTCACTGCTCCAAAGCCCGTGTGGTTGTTTTCGTTTCTTGCCTGTGTCACCTCACCACCCGCCCTCCATGTGTGTGTGTGTGTGTGTCTGTGTGTGTGTGTGTGTCTGTGTCTGTGCGTGTGTGTGTGTGTCTGTGTCTGTGTGTGTGTGTCTGTGTCTGTGTGTGTGTGTCTGTCTGTGTTTATGTGTCTGTGTGTGTGTGGCACGCCAGGTGGCCGAGCTGGAGGCGGAGGTGACGAAGCAGAAGCAGCGGCGCGCGGAGGTGCAGCAAGCACTGGATGACGCAAAGAGGGAACAGGCGCAGCTGCAAGGACAGGTGAAGCGCCTGCAGACGGAGAGCGAGAGCCTGAGGACAGAGCTGAAGATGTTTGATGCAGACAGGGACCTACGCGCGCTGACTGTGAAACAGCTGGAAACAGAGCGAAACGACGCGGTGAGCTCCATGACGAAATTGGAGGCGGACCTTGCCAACGCAACAAAACGCATCCAATCTCTGGAGGACGAGCTGGTGCACAGAACGGAGGAGGGCGCCGCACAGGAGTTGCAAGTGCGAAACCTGGAGGAGGCAGTCATGATCCGCGACACAAAGATCGACACGCTGACGTCAGAGATGGACGAAGTGAAGACACTGCTGTCGTCGCTGGAGGGCTCAGACCAGGCCGGGCCCACGGGCTCTGTATTGGACGAGATTGAGGACCTGGTGCTGACGCAGATACGCGAGGAGACGGGCGACATTGAGGCGAACAACCGCATGACGGTGGCGCTGCTGCAGCGGCTCCTGCCGAGCATGGAGGAAACAAAGGTGGCCAGCAAGCCCATCACGTCCGTGCCAGCTGATGATGACGATGATGATGGCGATGATGGTGACAGTGACGGTGATGATGATGGTGATGATGATGATGACAGTGGTTCCCAGGATGAAGAAATGTCGCTGGCAGATGCCTTTGCGCGTGTTGGGGAAATGCATACGAGCGACGATGGGGCTGAACTGGGGAAGAAGGGCGCTGAAGATGATGCAGTTGACAGCAGCGCCCCCGCACTGCCATCCAATGCACGCACATCACCCGACCTGGAGCCGAGAATACAACAACAACAACAACAACAACAACAACAACAACAACAACAACAACAACAACAACAACAACAACAACAACAACAACAACAACAACACCGACCGGCTGCTGCTGTGGCAAGTGAGGCCACGACCCAGCAGCAGGGATCATTGCACTCACATGCAGATATCAAGGACGGCGACCGTGTACATGGTGATGGTGCCCTTGATTTCATTGATGACAACAATGATGACGACGATGAGGACATGACACAAGTGATCATGAACAGCAGCAGCGCTGCCCGCCACACGCGTGAGAGCGACGGACGAAGCGAGGTGTGCAGTGACGGCCGAAGCGAGACGTCGAGCACGGCGATGGAGGACAAGCTGAACCAGGTTCTGCGGGTGTACGCTGCATCGACGCAGCACATTGCTGGCGTGAAGATTGTCACCCGCGAGACAGCGCAGGGAATGTCCATGCAGGAACTCAAGTCCACTGCGCACGTGTTGAAGGAGCTGATTGCCGCGAGAAACAGGCTGCTGCTGCGCACACTTGCAGAGCGGGAACAGCTGAGAAATGAGATTCATTTGAAGGAACGCGTGCTGAAACCCGTCCTTGATATCGCCCGTGCACAAGCAGCGGCAGCGTCCTCATCTTCGTCATCATCATCGCTGCCATCAACACCCATGAGCACGCGTGCAAGCCAACAACAGCAGCAGAAGGATGGCCGTGGGGCCGTCAACACCTCACACCAAACACCAGGAGCATCATTGCCTGCCCGCACCACAGCCACCGCAAGCAACAACACCAACAACAACAACGCAGCCAACAACAACGGCAGCGGCAGCAAGGTACGGTCGCTTTTCTCTCCGTTTTCATCGCAATCGGCACCAGCAGCGTCCACGCCAACGCGGCGCGGTCTCGGGCTCATTGCATCGCTTTGGGGATCAAAGAGCACAAAGGAGGGCACAGAACTCAACGTCTGATCCAAGGACACTGTGCCGTGGCTTGCGCCTCGGTATGTGTGTGTGTGTGTGTCTGTGTGTGTGTGTCTGTCTGTCTGTCTGTCTGTCTGTCTGTCTGTCTTTCTGCCTGTGTACATGTCTGTCTGTCTGTCTGTGTGCATTTCTGTACATATTTGTGCATAACTGCTTCTCTGCGTCTCCATTTGCACGTGTGTGTGTATGGATGTGCTTGCTCGCCTTAATCGAAACCACACGACAAGTCCAGTGACAACAGAGGTTTTAATCACGAAGCAAAGAATGGTTCGAAACGACAAAACAGGCATAAAACACACCCACGCGCGCGCAAACACACACACACACACACGCATACAAATGCACACGCAAAAGCACACACACACACACGCACTCACTCAAGCGGGGCATCGACTAGTGGCTGCATCGATCAATCTGTACACACATAACATCAGGCAGCAACACGGCACATCTACCTCATGACACGCTGTGTGCTGCCTCCCAATCCGTGCACTTGGTCACTCCCTGCAATTTCAGTCAACGAAATCATGTCAGTTACCCACGCGCATACAAACACACACACACACGCATATGCATACGCATACACGCGCACGGTCCACATCTGACAACCACTTCAAGCACTTCTCCCACTCTCCAGACACGCACACACACACACACATCCCCAACTGCGGTGTGGTTGGCTGACCGCTGCAAGAGGGCGCCGAGTGCGACGTGAAGGTCGTCGAGATCAGCCAACTTGTTCGCGTACGACGTCTTCCACGCGTCCATATCCTCCGCCAGCCGCTCGTACTTGCTCTGATACTCCGCAGCAGCCGTCAGCGTCTGTGCATACGTGTGTGTGTGTGTGTGTGTGTGTGTGTGTGTGTGTGTGTGTGTGTGTGTGTGTGTGTGTGTGTGTGTGTGTGTGTGTCAGGACGGGTGCACGAGGAACTGGTGGGCCGCTTCACATTACAGCCCATCGTCCACGATGCAAGCCGCCCCCCGTCCCCAGAGCCACACCCATTATCACCATCAACACACGTGAGGGCAGCAGCATCACCTTGATCTGCTCCTTGAGCTGCACGACGGTTGCCTCAGCCTCTTGCTGCTGGTCAACAGCGGACTTCTCCGCGTTCTGTGACGCCTCAAGCTGCTGCCGCACCTCGGCCAGCTCCGCCTTGGCTGCCGCTACCTCCTCCTGAACAGGACAAGGGCGTGTGGTGGTGGTGATGATGATGATGATGGTGGTGGTGGTGGTGATGAAGATGACGATTGAGGAGGTGGTGGTGGTGGTGGCAGTCACGCAAGCACGCATCCACCTCCCGCCACCACCACCACCACAACGCAACACACATTACATGCAGGCACGCACGCACCTCAAGCTTGGTGACAACCTCCTGGTCTGGTTGACTCGCTGTGCTGCTGGCGTCGGGGGTGCTGCTGCTCTCCTCCTTCTCCTTCAACAGCTTCTTCAGTCGTGTTGTCTCGTCCTTCCACGCTGCAAGCTGGCAGCCGCCACACATCATCCCCGCATTGTGCACACATGACAAAATTGAGTGGTCAGGTGGAAGCGCACAGCTCAGCGTGTGTTGCAGCAGAGGCACGTTCACGTGCACAGGTATGTACTCGCACACACACACACACATACACACACACACGCACACAAACGATCGCGCACATTCCTGCAAACCACCCTCCTCCTCCACAACCATCACCACAACCATCACCACCACCACCACCACAACCATCACTACCATCACCAACCTGTTTCTTCCACTGCAGGACGTTTTTGCCGCTTTCTTGCAGCGCGGTCTTGAGTCGCGTGTTTGTGTTGCGCAAGTTCTGCAGCTCCTCCTCCCACTTCTTTGCGTTTGCGCTGCTTGTCGCCAGCGCCGCACGCAGTCGCTCGTTCTCATACCGTAACGTTGCAACCTGGCCGCCGCGTGGTGTTGGTGTGCGTTGGTGTGGTTGGGTTGGTGGGAGCAACAGAAAAGGCACAGTCGGTGTGATCTGGAACAAAATGCACACCTCACACACTTAACACACACACACGTACAAACACACACATACACATACACACATACACGTACACACATACACTCACAAGTACACAGCACATCACAGCACAGGGTGTCGCACCTCCTGTGAGTCGACGGGGGAGCCGATTGCATCACCCGTGCTCGCAGACGACGGCTTGTTCGGTTTCGCGCTCTCTTTCTCCCTAACGAAGAAGGAACAAAATGCCGAGGATGAGAGGTCACACAGTGTGTGTGTGTGTGTGTGTGTGTGTGTGTGTGTGTGTGTGTGTGTGTGTGTGCGTGCGTGCGTTGTGTGGGTGAAGCGAGGGCTGTCGCATTGCAGGGTACACACGCACTTTGCGGGCTCCTGTCTTGGCTTTGCTGCGGTGGCTGGCTTCGGGGCAACCTTGGGTGGCCTGTACATGTGGGACAGGATGATCATCGGCATGGAAAGAATATAAGGAAGGCAAGGGCAAGCGGTGTGAACGACAGTCGAAACCAAGTCATACTTGGAGGGACTGCCAAACACCCCAACCCATGAAAGGGCGCAACTTGAAGCACTTAACCTGAAGACACCAAACTCAGGCAAAATACCTGGCAACACACGCGCACACCCACACCATGCACACAGCAACCGCTGCGCACGCATCACATGTGCATGAAATGAAAACACAAGCAAAGAATCGAAACACACATGTCCACTGACGATGCAGGTGTCGTTGACGTTGAGGAGTCGTCGAGTTTTGCCAACGCCTCTGAAAACGCGTCCGCAAACTGATGCAAGCGTACACAGTAGCGAACACAAAGCGCAAAGGCAAGTGAAAGCGGGAGAGCAATGCGTTATCATGCGCGTAGTCCATGCTTGGAAAAGCATGCAATGTACCCCGGCTGAGGAGGAACAGTGCATGCACACAGCATGCGCACAACATGCGCACAAACTGCGAGCATGAACCATCATCCAAGCTAATGCACGCACATGCACGCACATGCACATGTACACAGCATACAGCATGTACACACACGCGCATATGCACACGCGCACAAAGTATCAGCACTACATGCACGCGTGCGCCTGCAAGGCACGTACGTTCAGGGTGTCTGTTTCTGCGCCAAAGCCGAGGCCATAGAGAGTGCCGGCCTTTGTGTCTGTCCACTGCCCAAACTTGGGCGCGGTCTTTGTGAAGAGCATGCCTTGGCTAAGGGTGCTGGACATGACCTCGTCGCCATCAGCAGGCGCTGCGCGAATGCGGTGTGTTCCGTCCTCCTGCTTCACAATGCTCACGGGTATCGCTGTTTTGGAGAGCGGCAGCCATGACTTTTTCGTCTGCGGGTCAATTTGAAACACATGCGCCTGTGTCTTGAACATCACCGACGACGACGACCTATGCAGCGTATGTGTATATGTGTGTGTGTTTGTGTGTGTGCGTGAGTATGTGGATGTGTGTGTTTGTGTGGGTGCGTGCGTGTGTATGAGTGAGTGTTGCGCGTGAGAGTGTGCGCCATGTGGGTTTTCGCGTGCACTGGTGTGATGCGTGTTGTGCTCTGTGAGTGTGTGTGTGTGTGTTTTAAGAAGCGTTTGCACCTCGGTCGTGCCAGTGGTGCAGCACAGCCACACACTCACACACACACACACATACACACACACACACATACATACACACACACACACAGACGGGCCACGCCTTGTCTCCACTGCCACCCACAACAGCGCCAACTTCCACGCACGCACTCACATCCTCTCTCTCTCTGTTGTTGGTTGTTTGTGTTTGAGGAGGGGGCAATTTGGATGATTGGTGAAAGATATTAGAAGATTATCGGTTTGTCAGGAGGACAGAGCGAATGGTGGCGATGTCACATTGCAAGGATGGCTGCGATGATCGATGTCATTGATGATGATGCACAGATGGATGATGGCGCTTTGCTTGTGATGCACACAAAACCTGCACCCTGCACCAAGCGACGCATTCTCTCAGTACAGACCACACAGCACAGCACGGCAACCAACCAAACAAAACCAAACCCCCAACAACAGCTGAAGTGGAATACAGTGTCAAGTGCGCAAGTGGCTGGCTCAACGCTGTCTGTACAATTTGGTGCGGAGTGACGGCACACAGCGCTCACGATCACAACACATCACAGCACTGACAAAGGATGATTTCGACGGCGAAGATGGGGTCAACAAAGGAGGAGAAGAAGCTGGTGAAGCAGCAGAAGGCGGAGCAGAAGCGGCTTGCCAAGCAACTCAAGGTTGAGGAGAAGCAGCGCAAGAAGGAGGTGAAAAAGGCAACCAAGGAGGCCAAGAAACGCCATGTGGACGTCGACGTTGTTCTTCGCGAGAAAGGCCTGTCCACGGACGGCTCTCCCCTTCCAAAGCAAGACCAAGAAGAAAAGCAGCAAGATCAAAAGCAGCAGCAGCAGCAGCAGCAGCAAGTGCAGCAGGAGGAGCAAGACTCGCGCGCATCAAAGGATGACAACAACAGCCAAGCCGTTGAGGAGGCAACCGCAACCAACAACGAGACAGCACAAGCAGAGCTCGGAAGCGATGCTGCTGCTCAGCAACAGCAAGAGCAGCAGAAAGAGGAGGACAAAGAGAAGCAAGGCAAGGAAGAAACAAAGCAGGACGCGACAGCATTGGCCAATGGTGAACCCAAGCAACAGCCGGCCGCGTCCCAGGACAACAAGGACGCTGCTGACACGAGCCAGGAGAATGCGGATGGACAAACTAGCCCCGATGCCAACAATGATGCAGAGCCCACGCCGCCATCACCACCACCGCGGGCCGTCGACAGGCCGGACAGCGCGGACGGCGCCAACGACACGGAACAGGGCGAGCAGGACGACATCAGTGGCAGCGGTGGTAGTGCTGCCGACAACGAAAGCGCAGCACAGGGAATGGATGGCGTGTCGCCGCGCACATCGCCGAAGATCACGCGCCGGCGGTGGGCGGGCCGCTCGTCCATTCGCGGTGCACCAGTGCAGCTGCTGCCGGGGCAGGAAGCGGGCCCCATCCAGCCACGTAAGGATGACGACGACAATGAAGAAGAGTCCACCAAGGTGCGCACGCATATCACTCGTTGGTTGAATGAGTGTGTGTGTGTGTGTGTGTGTGTGTGTGTGTGTGTGTGTGTGTGGTTGAAGGGGATGTGATGACTTGGAACAAGGTGTCTGCGTCTGAGTTGGCTACAACAGTCCCAGCGTGGTCCACGAATGCCCACCTGCTCGCATGGACGCAACCCAACATCACGCATGCACCATACGCGCTTGCTTGCATCTGCACGCAGTTTGTCGAGGAAGAGATTGTTGAAGACGAGGTGGACGATCAAGTCGGCGACATGGTGAGTCCACTTGCCTCTCGTCACGTCTGCACCACTCCTCTCCCTGGCAGCAATTCACGCGCGTGTATAATTGAACGCCACGTGCCTTTCCGAATGCACGAATGCAAACATGTGTGTACACGAATGCACGAGTGCACGAGCGCACAGATACACCCAAAGCACACGCATGCACATGCGCATGCATTCACCATCAACTGAGTGTCCCAGTATGCGCACTGCTCCACTAAGCTCACGTCACGCGCTTGTGCTATTGCACACCACCACCATGGCAGGCGCACGAGGATGCGCGTGCAACTGCGGGGTACCTTCGCGATACCGTGGAGCGCTTCAAGGAGAAGATGGTTGCAAACTGGGACAACGGCACAAACAGCGGATACGTGCAGGAGTACAGGTCACTTCAGGCCACAGGCCTCACTCAGGTGTGTGTGTGTGTGTGTGTGTGTGTGTGTGTGTGTGTGTGTGTGTGTGTGTGTGTGTGTGTGTGTGTGTGTGTGTGTGTGTGTCCGTGATCTGCACCCTCATCAACCACCGATCACATCACACTCACATCACACTCACATCACACTCCTCCAACTACCGCCGTCACTGCCAACACTACGCTGCCACACGCCAGACGTGCAATGCTGCGGTTGCCGAGCCAAACCGCCTGAAGAACCGCTACGGAAACATCCTTGCCTTTGACAAGTGGCGTGTCAAGCTCCCTGTTGTGGACGGCAACCCTTACACAGACTACATCAACGCCAGCTTTGTAGACGCGTACAAGCAGCCCAACGGCTACATTGCCACGCAGGGGCCCGTGCCAAACTCGTTTGTCGACTTCTGGCGCATGATCTGGGACCAGCGCGTGTGCACGATTGTGATGGTGACGCACGAGGTTGAGGGCGGGCGCATGAAGTGCCACCGCTACTGGCCAGACCCAACCAGCAACCCGCCCGTGCTGCAACTCACGTACGGCGACGTCAACGTCGTGCACGTGTCGTCAAAGCCCCACAAGCATTACATCCTGCGCACGTTCAGCGTGACGCGGGGCGACGAGCCGCCTCGCACTGTTCGCCAGTTTGCATTCACGTCGTGGCCGGACCACGGTGTGCCGCTGACCACGCACGAGATGCTTGGCTTCCGCAACGCCGTCAACGAGCGCACGGAGGACAAGACGGCACCCATTGTCATCCACTGCTCGGCCGGGGTTGGGCGGACAGGCACGTACATTGCCATTGACACGCTCGTGCGCCAGGCCCTGGATATGGGAGGCGACCTGGACGTGCGCGAGGTGGTGGCGTCGATGCGCATGCGACGCTGCTACATGGTGCAGACGGAGATCCAGTACATCTTCATCTACCGCGCGGTGATGGACTGCCTTCGCGAGCTGCTGCACGGCGAGTCGCGCAAGGCGGAGAAGATGATGCAGGACGAGGCCGAGCAGGAGGCCATGCGCAAGGCAGCGGAGGACGCAGAGCGCGCCAAGCGGATTGAGCGCGAACGAGAAGAGCGCGAGATTGAACAGGCTCGCAAGGTATACACACACACACGTATGGAGGTGTTTGTTTGCATGGTGGCTTGGGTGCTTGCTTGCTTGCTTGCATGTGATGAATGGAATGCCATGCATGACAAAGCTTGAGCTCGTTTAGTCCTCTGTCACTCACGTCATACTATGCGTCACCTCCACCTCACTCCCATCACCACCACTCCCAATGCCCAATGCTCAATGTCTGCACAGGAACTGTTGGCGCGCGAGGAGACGAGTGTGGATAACGCGCGTGCTGTGGTGACGACGAGCATCCAAGCTCGCATGCAGATGCTCATGGACGCCGAGAAGCGCTGGATGGAGAACTACCAAAAGTCCTTGCAAGAGTGGAACGAACGCAACCAGGTGTGTACTTGTGTGTGTGTGTGTGTGTGTGTGTGTGTGTGTGTGTGTGTGTGTGTGTGTGTGTGTGTGTGTGTGTGTGTGCGTGTGTGTGTGTGTGTGTGTGTGCTTGCTTTCGCCTTGCAAGTTGCTCACCACCTGCTCTCTCGACTCCCATCTCCCCACTCCATCTTCCAAACCCCCACTGATCATCATGCACGTGACAGTTTGAGGCTGAGCAGTATGACCTGACGTCGAGCCTGACACCGGTGCAGTCACGGCGCGAGGCACTCAAGCAGAAGGGGCTGCTCATCTGATGCGCGTGCGTGTGTGTGTGTGTGTGTGTGTATTTGTGTGTGTGTGTGTGTTTGCGTTCAAAATGCACCCCGCACGACGAGAGTAGCACCCTTGTGTGCACATCTGCTCGTCTGTCTGCCTGCCTGCCTGCATACTTGTGGTGATAATAGAACCAACTGTTGTGTGTAGTTTTTTGTGTGCATGGTTATGACCTTGCGGGTTTCATGACAACAATGTGCTTTCTCTTTGACATCCTGCCCCCCTCCCCTCGCCTTCGCATCTGCCTGTGTCCGCTGTTGTTGTGCGCTAGGTCGCACACTCGAAGTAAAACGCTTCTCTGTACTGTGCTGCTGAGTTATTGAAGTAGCAGCAACGTGCAACTGCCCATAGTGATGCGACGCTGCGTGACGTGACATGGCATCACCTCCGGCTCCTCTCCCAACCCTGTTGTGGCCATCAATGACACTCAGCCGTTGCCGTGTTGTTGCGGTGCAGTTACTTTATTCACGTCGCAAAGAATGCTCACTTCATCCTGACCTCTCCCTCCCGAGCCACGGCGGCCAGATGTGTTTGGATACAACACGCCCTGCTCTCCCTCTCCCTGAGTTGATGCAGCCTAGTGGGTGCATGGATGAACCATATGTACAGCCAAACAGTCAACTGCGACCAGTCAACTAGCAGCAACTCAAGTGTGTGTGTCTGTGTGTGTGTGTGTGTGTGGCCATGTCAGTTGCAGTGCTTGTCGTCATTTCCGCAGTCCTTTCAGGGCCATCTTAGTCACAACGTCGTTGACAATGTCGTCCACGGGCCTTCCTTCGCATTTGATGCCATACAGCTGGTGGTGTATTGCAGAGGGGGGGGAGCGTGTGCATCGTGAGGCATGCGACATACATCTTGTAGCGTGTGCATCGTGAGGCATGCGACATACATCCTGTCATGGGCGTGAACAGAGGAACATGCAGACTCATTCAAATCCTTGCACAAGCAAAGGCACACGCACACACACATGCGCGCACACACACACACACGCACACCTTTGCGATGGCTGCAGCATCATACAGCTCATGCAACTCAGACACTGGTGCAACGGTGCCATCAATAGCATCCAGTACTTGGCTTAGCTGTTCATATGTGCATGCGGATGAGCGTGTGGATATGTTGGGGTGAGCGTGTGAGTGTGAAGCGTGTAGTCAAAGTGTATCGAGATGAACCGGGGCAGTCCACCGACAAAGGCCACCGGCAAAGTCCACCGGCAACAAGCCAAACAAACCCACACCACCACCACACCACATGACACCACGGACGCTCGCGCACCTGGGAGTCGTCCTTGTCACTGGTGGCCAGTACCATGACTAGCACGTCTGTGTCTGTCTCTGCTGGACCCAAGGTCGCAAACGCAGTTGTGATCTGCACGCATGAGCCAACACGTGAATAGATACGCACACCATTCAGCACGAGTGTCAGCACACGGTTTCGTGTCATCCAAACAACAGCAGCGGCATGTACATACACACAACAGCATACACAAACACAACAGCATACACAATTGACACAACAAATACCACTCCCTACACAATGAACTCTTTCCCCCCCCCCTCGCCACACACACACACACACACACACACACACACACATGACCACGTTCTCACCTGTCTGCCGGGGTAGAGGGAGTAGAGGATTTCTGTGTTGACGTTGCGGGTTGTCATGTTCTCAGCCTTTTGTGCTTCCAGCGCATGCCTGGCTGCAACGGCGGCCACGAACAAGTCGGGGACCATGCTGGCCTTGATAAAGCATGCCTGCAACGCGCCGCTGCGGACGCCCTTCAGCACCTCGCCCATGTTCTTCACACCACGCACCACCGTGGCCAACACCACCGCTCCATCCTCCACCACCACCCGCTCCGCAGCACTGCTCATAATCTCCTTCTTGTCTCTTGTTGTTTGCGCTCGCTGTGAATAATGCATTTCATGCTGTCGCTCTGCCACCCACGCCGCGTGCACACCGACAACAAGCTTCCCCCCTCCCCCCGCACTACTCCTTCCCCACTCTCTCCAAACAGACGCCATGGGTAACCCTCAGCGACGGAAGCGCATGCACAAGAACAACAAGTTCTTTCAAAAGGCCATGCGCACGCGCCGCAAGACGCGCGATGTGGATCAGATTCACGACGATCTCAAGCCGAAGGTGCTCAACAAGCTCGCAACACAGGTCGTCGATTACGATCTCCCCGGCATGGGCCAGTTCTACTGCGTCCATTGCGCGTAAGCCCCCTTTTGCGTGCATGTGCGTGTGTGCGTGTGCGTGCGTGCGTGCGTGTCTGTCTGTCTGTCTGTGTATGATTGCTGTGTGGGTGGGTGTCCGTCCGTCCGTCTGTCTGTCTTTGGTTGCTGTGTGGTGCTGCTGTGTAATCCTTCCTTCCCTCTGTTCCCTTTCTGCCCTTCCCTGTGTTCTTCCCTTTCTGCCCTTCCCTGTGCTCTTCCTCCTGTTCCCTCTCTTGTTTCTTCTTGGCTGCCTTCCTTTGTGTCTACTGCTTCCGTTCCTGCTTCCTGATGAACGTGTTCACATTGTTGCTGTCTGTTTGCGTGTAGGAGACATTTCGTGGATGAGTTTACGCTGGAGGCGCATCGCAGGAGTAAGGTTCACAAGCGCCGGTAAGTCTACACAAGCAACCTGTGTTGCACACACATGCACACATGTAGACGCACACGTGCACTCACACGCAGACACGTGCTTGCTTGCTGGCGCCCTACTTGTGCACCTTCGCTTTTCATTGGATGGCACTTCTCCTCCCTGTTAGCACACTCACACACGCACGCATGCACATGCACCCGTGCACGCCCCTTCCCTCCCTCCGCCCTCGCCCTTGAACAGGTTGAAGCAGCTGTCTGAGACACCCTACACACAGAAGGAGGCCGATGCAGCTGGAGGCCTGGGCGTGTATGTACCACCATCCAAGGTTGATGTTGATGATGTCAGTGTGGTGCAGGTGCGGAAGGATGTTGGCATGGAGACGGATGAGAAGCATGATGAAGCCGCGCCACCGACCCTGGACGACATCAAGCCCACAAAGGCAGAGCAAGAGGAAAAGGCGAAGATGGCCACAGACAAGGAGGACGCCACCAAGCCCTCAGAATGAGGCTGTGCTAGCCCACGTTCCGTGTGTGTCTGTGCGTGTGCGTGTCTGTAAGTATGCGTGTGTGAGTATGCGTGAGTGAGTTAGTGTCGCTTGTGAGCGGTTTGTCGTGTGTAACAATGGTGGCTTTTTGCTTAACTTTCTCCCCGTTTCGTTCCTCTCTCCCGCTCCCTATCTTGCTTCCTCCCTTCTTTGTTTCCTTGCTTGCTTGTCTCTTTTCTCCTTTTGTGCTCTCTCGCTGGCTGTTGCTGTTGTTTACACTAAAGGAATATGGCTTGAGTGGAGTCGAGGCATCACGAAGCAAGATCTGCTTTGTGACAGTGATGTGATGTCACACACGCACACACACACACGCACACACACACACACGCACACGCGCGCACACACACACAAACACACACACTCACACACACACACTCTCTCTCACACACACACAAGCACACACAAGCACACATTGCCCTTTGGCAAATTTTCTACACAGTTGCCTCAACCTGCGAACAAGAGGCGCGAACACACAACAACACCATACACGCACAGCAACGTCGATACGAACACGCACTGGCACAATAAGTGAAAAAGAGACCACCTTTGACCGCACATCTTTTCCGTGTGCTCGCATACGCAGCGATGTTGAGGGTACGAGGAAGATCGCTGGAGGCCCGGTTTGTGTACATCATCGTGCTGGCTGTGGTGTACACGGCCACGTACATGTACAGCGCCACATCCGGTGACCCAAGCGTACCGGTTGGCGGCGCAGACATGCCGCCGTGGCTCGCACAGCTGGGACGACCACGCGCAGTTGCAGAGGAGCTGGCAGAACAGCAACAGCTGCTTGACGCGACGCGGCGCAGCGACGACGGAGCCAACAGACACAGCAACGATGGCGCCGCCGCAGTCTCACAACACCAGCAGCACCAGCAGCAGGCGGAGCACGATCTGGCCAGCACACGGAGTCCAAAGACACCGACGCGGCAAGAGGACAAAGGCGTGGACGAGAAGGAGAAAGGCATGAAGTTCGAGGTGGAGGGGGGCGAAGATGGATTCGTGCCCAGGGAGCACATGAAGAATGCGATGGGTATGCCAGACACTGCAGAGGCCGACCCGTGGAAGCGGCGCAGGCAGGACAAGTGGCGCCTCATCATCTTGTTCCAGCACAACTTCCCCATCCTGAAGCAGGCGGTAGAAGGGTTCCAGCGTGCCAGCGACATCATGGTGCCCAGCATGATCATCGTCGACAACTCCAAGGACAGGGATGCCTCGAACAGCGTGTGGCTTGTGGAGCGGGTGGCAGAGGTGGTCGTGCCAGACCGCCAGCTAAACTTCCCAGAGCTGCACAACTACATGGCCACGCTGGCACTCGAGCGCCGGCTCGAATTCTACTTCTGGGCCCACGCAGACAACTACGTGCTGCCGCTGGAGCCTGGCCGCGACATGGGCAAGGACGCCATCGACTGCCTGCGCGAGCAGATGGCGCGGTTCCCCAACTGGGGCATGATCCTCTTCGCCTACGACCACCTGGCCGCCTACCGCACGCAGACGCTAGTCCAGGTGCCATGGGACCCACACGTGTTCCAGTACGGCTCGGAGTGCGATGCGTATGGGCGCATCCGCGATGCGGGCTACGACGCGCGCGCGTGCAAGATTCACTACTCGTACGACATGAAGCGGGTGATTGGCATCCTGGACACGGACTCGTACGACCGGGTCAAGGCGAAGCTGGACGAGGAGGCAAAGGACAAGTCCAAGCGCAACCAGTGGCGCGAGGGAGCCATGTCCGAGAAGGAGCAGCAATGGCGCAAGCGCATGAAGGAGGCGTCACGCGCATACTTGGCCGAGAAGTGGGGCGAGGTGAAGTGCAAGCTGCGCGGTGTGCCGTGCCACAAGCCCTGGCCTTACTGCCCAACGTGCCCCACAGACCTTCCCCAGTGCTACGGCAAGGAGGCGACGTGGGAGCAACTCGACCACATTCACGCCAGGGTGCACCAGGTGTTTGACAATGATCCCGACAAGCCACCACCGCTCGAGGCATAGACTTGTACGTGTGTGTGTGTGTGTGTGTGTGTGTGTGTGTGTGTGTGTGTGTGTGTGTGTGTGTGTGTGTGTGTGTGTGTGTGTGTGTGGCGAGACCCTACAAGCTCAACTGTAGATAGATACAAGCATATCACGATGACAGTAAACGCTGTAACGTCACTTGATTGCTGGCTGCTGCCCTCGCTGGCGTCTCATCACATTGCGCGTGTATGGCTGAAACACACAGCAAACATACAACGCAGACACAAACACAGACACAGACACCTCAGCGCGAACAACAACGACTAAACACACAAACAAAAGACGTCAGATGGCGGCTGTGGAAGTGGAAACTGATGTGTAAGGCTGACGACAATCAGTGTCTCAGCAACATGCATCCAAGCGCAGACACCAAGAATGTTAAAGGTGCATGGCTCGAAGGCAGAAGGAAGCACACAAGACATTAACGGGGGAGTGGGGAGAGAAAGAAGCACACGCGGTGCATGGCCAACGCTGCTGGTGCTACTGGCGGTGGCGGTGCACGGACGCACACACAATCACGGCCGGAGGCTTGAGAGGCCGACAGCGGAGCGGCCAATCTCGGCAACCTCGCAGGCAAGGCAGGTCTCGCCCTCGCACTCGGGCTCGTACACCGCAGAGCAGAACGGGCACGTCACCTGCGCAAGGGGGAGCGGAAGGGGAGACGCGAGGGTGAGCGTGCATTCGAGTTCCCGAGCGTGCGAGGGAAGGGTGCGATAAATGCAAATCAATATTGTTGCCCGCCTCAAAGAGCAAAGCACAATCGCAACGCGTGAAAGACACACTGTTGCATCACACATCACCGACAAGAAGCAAACACACGGGCCCCACAACGTATTTTCGAAACACGCACCTGAGGCTTGCCCTTGTAGATGGGCTTCATGGACTTGAGGGAGATGGTGAAGGGGTTGTGCATGTCGTAGTCAATCTCAACGGCGTCCACCATGTTCTTCTCGCACGCCTGCAGAATCTTCTTCGTCTGCGTAACAGGAGCGAGCAAAAGGTGAAACAATAATGCACACCCAAACACACAGCGTGAGCACCAGCACAAGGGGAACAAAACGCGACATGCTCGAAATCCAACGACGAAAACCGCGGGCAGCTTTCAAGACAATCACACACCCAGACACCCACACCCACCCACACACACACACACAGAGGCACGCACCTTTGTGGCGAGGTCGACCTTCGGGCCGAGCTCGAGGAGGCGGCGGGCAAAGGATGCGCACGTCTTGAAGTTCTTCAGCTTGTAGAAGAGCGTCTGCGCAGTCTTCAGCACAAGAATCATGTGGAAGGGCTGCAGGTCGCAGTGGGTGAAGTAGGCGGCAAGCTCCGCCGCGCGTGCGGCCTGGGAGGGGTCCTTTGCAATCTCACGCCGCCTAATCTCAAGGGAGAGGCCCACAACGTACTCGCGGCAAATCTTGGCGAGCTGCTGTACCTCCTGCAGCTCGGAGCGACTCGACACGACGAGCATGGGCAGGCAGCGCAGGATCGACCGCATCTGCCCAAGCGCATCCGCAAACTTGCCCTTGGTTGTTGACGCGTACGCGTTCTGAGGCAAGACAGACGCAAGCAAGCAAGGGGGAAGGGGGTGGGGTGAGTACGCATAGGGAGGTGAGGGAACCCGAAGCCCACAGCACACGACAAAAGACGGCAACAACGACAAAGCTGCCCAAAGCGGCATTCATTCATCCATTCATTCATGCATGCGCACCTGGAGGCTCTCGGCGAGGGAGCCAAACTTGAGGCCAACCGCAGGCAGGCCGTCTGTGCGTGTGCGTGCGCGTGTGTGTGTGTGTGTGTGTGTGTGTGTGTGTGTGTGTGTGTGTGTGTGTGTGTGTGTGTGTGTGTGTGTGTGCGTGTGCGTGGTGTGTCGAGGGAGCGACAGAGAAGGAGGGCGGAAGCGAGTCCACAGAAATGAAGGGGAAACCCCCCCCCCAACTTACAGAGCGCACGCACAGACATTCACATGCATACGCACGCACACACACACGCACACATGCACACAGGGCAACAAACGTACTGCGAGCGCCGGCATCCTGCCAGTTGCGGTGCATGTAGAAAAAGAGGGGAGGGGTGGAGTTTGTTGCCTCAACAACGGCCCGGGAGCGAGCATATTGGGAGATGAACAGGTCCTTGTAGGGCGCAAAGTTGACAATGCCAAGCTGCTGCTTCATAATCTGCACACACACACACACAGGTGATGGTGGTGAGCTCAAGCAACAAGCAACCACACCTGGGTTCAAGAGTAATCTCACTCACGCACTCCCTCACACACATGCACACACACACACACACACAAATGCACGACTTGTGCACACATAACCCCCCTTCGCACACGCCTGCACAATAAAACGGTATTCGTACGTTCATGGCGGTGTCGAAGGAGCCAGCAGCGACGTGGTCGGCAATGAGGGACGAGTTGTTCACCCACATCTGGGACTGCGGGGTGCCGGCGCTGGGCGCAACAAAGATGTCGCCGCCAGCCTCCTCCTCACCCTCGGGCTCTTCAAGCTCAATATCGAGATCAAGGTCGTCTTCGTCGCCCCAGCCCTCGCCTTCCTCCTCTTCCTCTTCGCCACCAAGGCCTGGGCACGCGCAGGAGAAGGGAGAGCCAACAAACCAAGCAGACAGCGGGCAAAGCGTGAGCAGCACGAATGGTCCAGTGAGCACCGCAGCAGGGCCAAGGTGCATACGCACCAGCACCACAAGCAGAGCAATGCCATGACGCAAAGCAGCCGCTGAATGCGCAGGTGCGCACCTGCTTCCTCGCCAAGCTCCTCGTCCTCCTCGTCACCCCAGCCCTCGGCATCATCCATGGCATCAATGTCGTCTGCAACAGCAAGCGCGGCAGGCTGCTGCGTCTTCATCGAGTCGAAGAAGCCCTGATCGTTTTGTACCAGCGTTTGGGGGGGGGAACGTGTGACGAGGACGGGTTGTCAGTGGAAGGGAAGGGGAGAAGAGACAATAAGAAAGGAGTTTGGGGGGGGGGAGCACGTGAGCTCTGGCCAAAACGCAAGAAGCGCCCAAGAACACACACAGACACAGACACAGACACAGACACAGACACAGACACATACGTCCACGCACCTTTGAGATGGTGAGGAGCGGCCAGTTTGTTTGGTTCTCGCAGACGGGCTCAGGCGGAAGCAGCGCCTTGCTGTCCGGGTGCACGGGGGGAAGCTGGTCCTCCTCCATTCCCAGCGTCTGCGCAATCTCGGTTGCCTTGTCATCATAGCCGTGCGTCGCCGCAGTCAGGTATGCAAGCGGGCCCTGGCCAACGCTCCTGTGATAACAAGGTGAAGCGGAATGGCCATATAAGCACACAACGCAAACCAAACCAGTGCAAACATGCAAAGCTAGCATGTCGGGAGGGCAGGGGGGAATCGCATGAAACACCAAATGAAAGACAACAAAAGACACCCACACACACACAAACACACCCACCCACACACCCACACACACCCCCAGCCACACACACACACACAAGTAGCTACGGGAACGTACTGGAGGACACGAATGCGCTCCTCCATGTCGCCGAGCAACAGAGCAGTTTGGAACTGGCTGTCAACATCCTGCTCCAACCCATCAACACACCAAAACCCCACACGTGCGGTGGTGAGTCCAGTGAAATGCAGCGGCTCTTTGTGCGTGCACACCGAGAACAGGACACAGCGCACCTCTATACATCCACACACACAACTACAGAGGTACACCAGGCACACCCACACACACACCTTGCGGATCTCTGCAATCTTGAGCATCTTGCGCAGTTTCTCGAGGTTGCCCGTGATGAGGTAGAGGAAAGTAAGCTTCTCAAACGATTTGGAGCGCTGGTACGCAAGCTCAACGACCTGGTGGTCACCGTGCTTGAGCGCAACGTCTGCAAGCTGCTCCCAGCAGTTCTTGTCGTCAAGCTCCTTGGCGGCCTCCTTGGCGGCCTCAATGTTGCCGCACTCGAGAGCAAGCGCAAACCGCGTGCGGCTGTCCTTCACAAAGTGCAGTGCAACCTGACACCAGTGCGCAAGTGTTGAAAATGCGTGCACAATTGCAGGAGGGGAAGGAGTGGAAAATAAAATGGAACAAGCGAGCAGGAGAGAGAACACTGGGTGAGAACAAGGGCGATCTCTGACAAGCAAGTAAACATGACTGGACGAGGATAATAGCAAGGGGCAGCCGATGCCCTCTCAACAGCCACCGCAGGCATTGCTGTACGAGGGCAAACAACGCAACCACGGCTCTAGAAGAAGACGCACCTCTGGGTAACCCTTCTTCTGCAGGTATGCAATGATGGACTGGCCGGGCAGGCGGGCATTGCGCACCATGTATAGCACCTGGGAACAACAACGAGCAGCGCGTCGCAGCGACCGACACGTCAGAACACCGGGTGTTGCGCAACTCCCACGATGATCGCAAACACACACACACACACACCAAGGCACGCGCATGTCGACCCACTCCAAGCGCGAGTGGTGGGCAGACCTGGTCGTAAGCGCGGTTGACGAGGGCAAGCTTGAACTGGTACTCGGTCGGGTCGATGGCGAGCGCAGCCGTCTTCACCTCGCGGTCCAGGCAGTACACGGTGCCGCCCTTGACGTGCGTGATGTAGATGGGCGTGTCGAGCGTGCGGATGATGCCAGAGTCGCCGTTGGGGAGGGCGTACTTGAGGTGGTTCAGCGTCGTGTAGATCAGCACCCCGCTCTCCTCCCACACGGCAGACTGGCGGAGCAAAACACAACAGTCACAGACAGTGTGGCCGCGCGGTCGGGTGAGTGGTGGCGTGTAATCTGACTACCCGCACACACACACACATGTGTGTGTGTGCACATCACTCGCGCCGAAGCTATTGCAGGGACAACCGAATGCCTTCACAAACACAGACACAAACACACACACGGCACACGGCAGACCCTCACACACAAACACAATACAGGACACACACCTTGACACGGATTGTCTCGTGGATGGTGCAGATCTGGCGCAGGTGCTTATCGCAGACGGTGATGTCGTGCTTGCCCAGGAGGGCGACCTGGGATGAGTCCTTGTTCCAGACGGCATACTTGATGCGGCTGGTGCTGATGCTGGCCAGGGCCCTGCGCTGCTGAACATCAAACAGCGTCACGCCCTCGCCGTTGCCGAGCAGCAGGCGGCCCGTGCTGGCGTAGAACAGCGTGTCCGTCTGCACGGGCGGCGTCACCTTCTTGGTCGTCTCGTTCTTCAGGTCCTTGATCAGGATGGTGTTGTACTTGTCAAGCACAGCAAAGCGGTTGCGCGCAACCCACACGGCGCACCGCCCGCTGCCGCGCTTGCACTCGGCGTTGTCTGCATCGGAGCCCTTCTTGGGGAGCATGTAGAGCTCGTACACACCGCCGTCGGTGGCGGCCGTGAGCAGGGCGGCATTCTCCGCACGGTTGTACGCCATCGTCAGGATGCCATTCTGCGGCGCACCCGTGCCGTGCCTGCGGACCAACAAAAATGAATATTGAGGTGGGAGAGGACATGATCAAGTGTGTTTGTGTGTGCGTGTGTGTGTGTGTGTGCGTGTGGCAGGTGAGAACACGAAGCAAACAGCAGCTTGAAAGGAAGAACACAAGACAACAAAACAGAACACACACCCTCTACAAACACACACGCACACACATGCACACACTTTTGAAGCCAATCAGCGTGGCACGCGCAAGAAGCACCTCATTCAACCCCCCCCCCCCCCAATCGGGCGGACAACAGAGCGCAGTACTAACCGGCGGATGCTTGCGAGCGGAGCGTCCTTGGAGCTGCCAAACTCATACGTGCGAATGAAGCGGTCCTTGACGTAGAAGAGCGTGTTGTTGTGCACAGCATAACCCGGGCGCTCGCGCTCGAGCTTGAAGACAACAAGCCCGCTGTCGTGGCCAGCAGCAAACAGGTTCACCTCCGGGTGGGCGGCAACTACCCAGAAGCGGTCGTGCTCGCGGCGGAACGTCTGCACAGACGCGCGGCGCTGCGTGTCCCACACCCGGATGGAGCAGTCCTCGCTCGCACTGCACACACGCGCGCGTGAATAAGAACGTGGAGAGGAGGGGGAGACGTGGTGCGGATGGGTGGCGTGTGGGGAGATTGTTGGGTGTGAGCAGATTGCTGAGAAGTTAAAACGCGTGCACAGCGCAAAGCCGGCAGAGAAGCCACCTCGTGATGAAAAGCAAGCTGCAGGCATTTGCAGGCATTTGTGCTGTTGGCAGCGCACCTGACGACGAGGTCTTGGCGAGGATGGAAGAGTACACAGACCACGTTGTTGTAGTGGCCGCGGCACGTGTCAACCTCCCACGCTTTCGTATCTGGCGATGCATTGGCGCAAAAAGCCCAGTCAAAGCAAAGGTGAGGCAAGGCTGCAGGATGCAAGAGCGGCGAGCCCTACACAGCAACGGTGGTGGCAGCATACACACGTTCTCATCATCCTGCACAAGAAAAACACCAAGGAACAAAGGCACAGAGAGGGGGGGGGCCAAGAAGCGCTATTGCTGACCGTTCATGCGCCAGAGCTTGACGGTTCTGTCGTCGGCGCCGGAGACGACGAGCGGCGACGTGCCGTGGAAGGCCGCCCAGTTCACGCCGCGGTCGTGGCCCTCAAGCACGTGCTGCACACATACACACAAACACGCACGCACGCACACACACACAAAACATTGTGGCCCATCGCATGATATGTGAGAAAAGCACGTGCAAACGAATGGGCAAATACTAACTCCAACACACAGTGCTGACACACACACACACACACTCTCTCTCTCCCCCTCGCACTCCCTCGCAGTCCCAAGGATGTGTGTACACACCTGGACCATGACATCAGCCGAGCCAAAGAGGTCTGCGTCGTCCTTGCGGCCAAGGCCGGCGCCAGCGGGGGCCACGCCCTTCTTGCGCAGGCCAGAGAAGTTCCACACGCGCACCGTCTGGTCCAGCGATGCAGAGACAAGCAGGTCTTGCGTCGGGTGGAAGTTGGCGCACATGACGTAGTGGTTGTGGCCCGTGAGCACGCTCACGCAGTTGCGCGACTGCCAGTTCCAGATGCGAATCGTCTGGTCGTCGGACGCACTCACAATCCACGGCGTTTCCTGCAGTGTATGTGTGAGGGGGGAGGGGTGCGTACATGCGTGCATGTATGTGTGTATGCGTGTGAGCGCACAAAACCAGTTGTGGTGAGAGGGAGGAGAGAATATGGCAGGCGGAGACGGGACGATGCGAGCCCTGACAGATAGGTACATGTGCATGGAAAGGACTGCATGTGCATGTGCAGCGGGTGCAAATCCCATGTACCTGGTGGAAGTAGGTTGTGCGGATGTAGTCCAAGTGGCCGTTGAGGGTGAACAGGCACCGGCGGGTCTTGTAGTTCCACACCTGAGACGCGAGCACAAACAGGGGAAGGGCAGATTGTTACCACAACAGTGTCCATTTCAAGGGAGACGGGTGTGTGGTGTGGATCGAATTCAAGTGTGACCACACAGCAAATAAACAGCAAACACACTGAAGCAGCTTGTGTGTTTGTGGGTGTGTGCGTGCGCCTGTTTGTGTGTTGGGCCGCGAACCTTGATCTTGTAGTCGTCACCACCAGACACAAAAAGCGGCTGTGAGCTGTGGAAGTCCACGCCGCGCACAGGACCTATGGCAAACGCAGTCGGCAGAAACAATATGCAATCACGGAAGTGGGGGGGGGTGTAAGAGAGGCACGCACAGAGATTGCCGGGCAAACGCAGAGGAACATAGACACGCAGACATAGACACGCAGACATAGACACACGCACAAACAAACAACCAACCAACCAGCCAGCCAACAAACCAACCAACCAACCAACCAACCAAACAAACAAACAACCAAACAAACAAACAAACACAGACCCATCTCTTCCCCCTTGGCTTGGCTGCGCACTTCATTTCATACGCACACACACAAAGACTCAAGCATTGCCACAATTTGATGACAAACCATCGTGCTCGTCGTATTTGTCAATGAGCGTGCCCATGCGGTAGTCATACAGGTGGATGACACCGCTGTGCAGGCTGGCGAGGACCCATGGTCGTTTGGGATGGAATGACACGCCTAATTCAGACGAAAACACACACACACACGCACACGCACAAAGAGCGGTGACAGGGTGACAGGGTGAGAGGAACTGTCGCCACAAGCACACACGTAGACGAATGCAATGGCGTGCTCAAAGTCATGATAATCACAGCCACCACTGCCGTGCGGGTGCAAGTGACACAGAGGCACCCAAAGGTGTTGCACACTGCTCAGGTGTGCGTGCATCCAACGCAGCCGTGCAACTAAAGCTGTAAACACGGGCAGGCACGCGCCTGTCTGTTTCTTGCGCACCTTTGACACGGGCGGTCTTGGCCTCAAACTTTGTCAACATGACAGCAAAACTGGCCAATGGAAGGACAGTGGGGTGAAAAGGCGGATGTGGTGTTGACCGTAGAGATGTGCTCCACACTCCAATTCAAGGGTTAGGCTCCACACTCCAATACAACAAGTCAGCCAGGCTGTATCACAACAGCAACAGATGGAAGCAGTGGTGTGGGTGCTGTGTTCGTTGGTTGTGGCAGCGACGATAATGGCCAGCACAGCAGTTTTTTTTTTTTCTTCGATGGCGGATGAGGAGAATTTGTTGAAAATATTCGCCAATATTCAAACCAGCCAACCACCACACAAACAAAATAAAACCGACCAACAGACAGACACTCCTGCCTGTTTGAGTGCTGTGCTTCGGGATGGCTGACGTGCAGAGCACAGGGGATGGCGGTGATGTTGGCAACCAGCCACAGCAGGGTGGTGTGGGCCAGGGCGAGGGCTCTTCCAGGGTCGGTGTGGGTGGCCGAAAGACAGCGAACACCAAACGTGTCAAGGATGAGCCTTGGCAAAAAGTGGTGGACGACCCCATCGCCGACATGGACTGCACATCCTCATGCATCAGTGAGTGTGTGTGTGAGTGTGTGAATGTTAGTGCGTTTGTGCATGTGTATGTGAGCATGTTTGCGTTTGTGCATGTGTGTGTATGCGTGTAATTGAATCTCTGGATCTGCGTATTTTCTAGACTCGAGCCTGACGCAGAGTGGCACATCTGTGGCTCACGTCGCGCTCCCTCGACACATCTCTAACGCACGCACACACACACACACAAACACACACACTAACACACACACACACAAACACACACACTAACACTAACACACACACACACAAACACAAACACACACAAACACACACACAAACACACACACACACAAACACACACTCTCTCACTCTCGCACACTCTCACGCACGCAACATTTACCACAACCAGCGTTTGCTGATGTCAACAACCAAGGGGAGAACAAGGTAAGTCCAGAGTCTCAGAACAAGCTGCACAGAAGAAGCACTGCCGTTGTCAAGCTGGTGTTTCTCGTGTGTGGCTTTGTTGGTCGTTCCTGACTCCATCGCTGGTTTGCTGTGCTTGCTTGCTTTCAGGTGATTGTAGCCAACATGCAGTTTGCAGAAGGAAAGTCCAAGCTGCAAGTCCTCAACTGCGGTGAACTCCAGCAGGTACAACAGCGTTGGTACGCACGGTGCTTGCGAGCGTGCTTTTCTACCTGGCGACATTTGTTGTGGCTGTGTGCAAGCATGTTTGATTTGTTGTGTGTTCACGTGCATCCCGTGTCACAATGTGCTGCCGCGCCAAGTTTGCTTCCTTGTTCACGCGCGTCTCGATTGGGTTGTGGATGCGTGCCAGTCCATCCACTTGTTCGGGTTTCCGTGCGGCACAATCTCTTTTCGCACATCGGATGAGGCGTCAGCACCAGGTACAATTGCATTGCACCTCCGCCTTGCTTCCTGTTTCGTTCGTGCCGTCGCCTGATTTTGCTGCGAACACTTGTCGTCTCCACACCGCATTGCTCACTCACAGCCTGGCTGTTTGCGACACGTGTGTGTGTGTGTGTGTGTGTGTGTGTGTGTGTGTGTGTGTGTGTGTGTGTGTGTGTGTGTGTGTGTGTGTGTGTGTGTGTGCCCACAGCCATTGCGGTGGCATCGGGTAACGCCCTTTATGTGTTTAAGAACTTGAAGCCCTTCTACAAATTCATCCTTCCGGACTTGCCGGTGCGTGTGTTTTATGTGTGTGTGTATTCCTCACATGTGCGCCTGCATGCCAAGCATTGTTGCGTTGATTCATGCGTGATTGCTTGCGGGATATTCGCTTGATGTTTCTGTTCCCAGCTCGATGAGCAAGAGCTTGAGACGTGGGTTGGTGTGCGTCGCGCCGAGGTCAGTGGTCACACGTGTGCGTGCTATTGTGTCTCAAGTGCACACACACGTGGATATGCAATTATCAACAGTGCTGGGTTTGTTTGATGTCCTTGCCTCAGGTACCATCTCTTCTGCCACTCACTCCACTCGCTCACCTGCTACACACACACACACACACGCACACACACACACCATCTCTGTGTACCCTGGCAGCGCGTGGATGCAGATGTGCTGCAGAATGCGCTGCTCACGCTTCGTGGCAACGGCGTCAAGCTCTCCCCCCGGTCCCTCAAATTCCTGTGTACGTCCACGACACGTGTGCACGCCATGCCCAAGTGTGTGCTTGTGTGCATGTGTGTATGTGTGTGTGGTGTTCGATTCACCTTCTCTCTCTTGCCGTGCATCAGCTCCACCTTCGTACTCCCGCCCACTCACTCGAATTCACACACACACACACACACACACACACACACACAAAACACACACACAAAACACACACACACACGTATACACATCCTGGACATGTGCTGGGGCAGCGCTGCCGCCTGAGATGCGGGAGGATTTCGTCAACATGGTCAAGACGCAGCCCGCCACCACGCCCGCTGTCATCACAACTGTCGGCACACTCGCAAAGGTGCGCATGCGTGCTGTGAACACAGCTGTTGCGGCCGTACGTCCCAGACGCACTTGTCAACGATACCGCCTCCCCGTCTTGGGTCTACACACACACACACACACACACACACACACACACACACACACACACACACACACACACACGTTGTTGCTCAATCGCTCACGTGCACGAACCTCTCCGTTTTTGTCTTCTTTCTCAAACACACACACGCATGCACTTGCGTGCACCTCCAATGCTATATGCATGTGCGTGCATGTGCAGCTTGGTGGCGATGACACTGGGGTGGCGTGCCCCGTTCTTGGGACAGAGGACGGTCAGGTGTTTGTTCTCAATCCAACAAACTTTGCCGCAGTCGTCCGTGTGTCCCTCCCAGGGTGAGCAAGCATGCCTCCACTGTTCATGTGCATGTGTGTGCATGTGTGTGTATGTGCGTTTCACGTGCTTATCCCGCATTACATACTCTCTCCCTCTCTGCTGTCACACTTCATCCACTCGACTGTTGCCTCCATCATCGCTACCTCCACACTCCTCCCCCCTCCTCAGCCCCGTTGCGTGCATGACGGCGAGTGGCGCCCTGGATACCGACTACAGAATCCACGCTTGCACACGCGATGGCACCGTGTGCCACATCAAAGGGTGCGTTGTACCCTTGTTGACGTGGAGCTGGGTGGCTTTACATACATGTGACTCTGTGCCCGAATCCTTCTGCACCCCCATCATGCTCAGTTCCTGGCTTCCTCCCCACCTCTCCATCCCTCCACACGTGCTGCCTTTATTCCATCGTCCTCCGGCCTGTTTACTCATCCACTCCATGCTTCTGCTCCCTCCAATCGTGCCGTGCCCTTGCCTGCAAGCAGGGGAAAGCTTGCAGATCACTCGTTTTCGCTGCCTGCGCCCGCTGTTGGCATTGACCGTATCGGAAAATCGCTCCTCATCTCCTGCGCAGACTCCTGCCTCTACTGCTTCAGCACAAAGGTCCGCACAGAACCGTGCGTATGAAAGACCTGTGTGTGTGTGTGTGTGTGTGTGCGTGCGTGCGCGCATGTGTGTGCTCACATGTGTGTGCTCACATGTGTGCGCATGTGTGTGTCTGTTTGGTTTCGTTGGCTGCTGAGGTTCAGTTCAATACCCTCCCCCCTCTCTCTCTGTCTGTCTGTCTCTCTGTCTGTCTGTCTCTCTCTCTGTCTCTGTCTCTGTCCCTCTCTGTCTCTCTCTCTGTCTCTCTCTCTCTCTCTCTCTCTCTCTCTCTCTCTGTCTGTCTGTCTCTCTGTCTCTGTGTGTCTCTCTCTCTCTGTGTGTCTCTCTCTCTCTGTGTGTCTCTCTCTGTCTCTCTCTCTATCTCTCTCTCTCTCTCTCTCTCTCTCTCTCTCTCTCTCTCTCTCTCTCTCTCTCTCTCTCTCTCTCTCTGTGCGCACTGTGATACATACCCACACCCTTCTACTCACGCCACAACTCACCCGCCATCCGCCATCCACCACCGCTGCACAGGGTCGCCGTCTGTGGCAGGTCAAGATGCCTGCTCCCATCACCGCGCACAGCCCAATGGTCTACAGGCCAAAGATGCTCAGGGTGCGTTGTATGCGTGCGCGCGCGCGTGTTTGTGTGTTTACATACGCGTGTATGCGTGTGTATTTACATGTGTACGTGTGCATGTGTAAATGTAATGTACATGTACGCGCGTGCACACGTATGTTAACGCCTCCGTGAGGCTGTTGTGTCTGTGCATAACCATAATGCCTGTGTGACCTGTTCCCTCACCTTTGCGCGTCACATCGCCCTTGCTTTCTTCCATTCTCCTTGCCCTCTCTGCGGCAGTTAACGCTAATCGGACTTGAGAATGGCGAGATCCGCCTGTACAGCGACAAAGAGATGCTCAGCACGTTGAAGGTCGACAGCGGTGTTGCTGCGCTTCGTTTCGGCCGTCTCTGGCGCGACAGCTACGTACTCGGTGCGGCATGGCGTCCTGCCCTCTGATCTGCCCGTCTTGTCGAAGTTGTTTCAGTTGGTGCTTCAATTGTTGCAGCTGTTGTTGCAGCTGTTGTTGCGCCATGTTGTCCAAGTTGTGTGTCAGGGATTGTTGTTTTAATTGCTGTGCTGTCGCCATTTCATTTCCCATTGCACGGCCACGCCACAACACAACACCGCACGTGTTCACAACCGCTCTCCAACAAACGCATGCGTGCCCCGATCCCACTCTGCCATCCATGTGTCACGTGATGCAGTGACGGTCACGCAGGAGGGCCACTACATCGTGCACCGGCTGAAAAGGGCCACAGAGTTCCACCAGCTCAAGGGCGTGAAAGGTGGGATCTTCCTTTTCTGTTTTGTCTCTCTTGGTGTCCAAATCAATGCCTGGCTTTGCTACTCAGCGAGCGCCTCTCTTCCGTCAGACAGCGCGTCTCTTGCGATCTCCGCACACGCCACGCGTGTCCACATCACACCGTTGCCCCCAACCATGATGGGGCTTTTCTTTCGGTTTCATTGAAACCATCCACTCCCATCTACCCCCCCCCCCAACTCACACCCACCACGCGCACGTGATTGCGGCACAGGTCCGCCACCAGAGCAGCACATCCGCATCAAAGTGCCGACAAAGACCAAACTCTATGTTGACCAGACGCAGCGGGAGAAGGACAACGCCGTGTCGATGCATCAGGCATTTCGCCGTGACCACTACGTCTTGCAGGTCCTCGTCGGTATGTTGCCATGCAAATGCGTGATCGTGTGTAGGTCGCGCGTAATGTGTGCTTGCTCGTGTTTGATGTGTGTTTGTTTGCGTTGCTGCACTGTAATGTTTTTGACAATTGCTGCACATGCGGACACGAAAACGCACACACGTGCAAGCGCGAACACCCTTTCGTGTGTCACCACGGTATCTCTCAACGGTTTGTCTCATCGCTGTCTTTTGTTTGTGCATGCACGCGCACCCATCAACATGCGCGTCGTTGCTGTTGCGAATGGCAAACGCCAGCCCGCAAATACGTCAAGGCAATGACCTCTGCGCTTGCACCGACATCTGCTCTCGAAGACGTCAAGTTCCAGGTGCAGTTCCTATCGTGATGCTTGAGATTTGTACCAATCCGTGCTTTGTGCACAACGCTTTTTCTTTGTTGCTGTACCCACGACTGGCCTGTTGCTCAGACTTACGATATGGACACACACACGCGCACACACACGCGCACACGCACACACACACACTCTCTATCTTGCACGCGTGTGCCCAACCACACGCACCAACGCACTTTTGCACACTCTCGCTTTTGCTTTCGCTTTCCTTCCATTTCTTTCTGTGGTTCAGGTTGGCGCTGCAGTGCAAGGCATCGGCCCGACATTCCGCTTGCTCGTGACTGTGCAAAACACGAGTGCGACGGCCGTGTCCGACATCCGCCTCGCGCTCACGTGGGACGAAAGCATGTATGACATTCAGAACCCCTCTGGCCTCATTCCACATCTTGTTCCAGGCGTCACATACACGGAGTCCTTCAACGTTCAGGTCAGTGAAGCGAAGCACGCATGTACGTGCAAATCGTGCATAATGTGCATGTTTGAGTATGTGTACATGTGTGTGCGTGTTTGCGTGTCCATGTATATTCTCTGTGTGTACGTCTTCTCTATAGTTGTCATGCCTGTCCAAACACCCTCTCTCTATCACCCCATATTGCCCCGCGCTCTTCTGACTGTGCCTGTTGTGCCGTCCTTCCGCCCCACCCCACGTCACACGTTGCATGTGTGCGTGTGTGTGTGTGTGTGTGTGTGTGTGTGTGTGTGTGTGTGTGTGTGTGTGTGTGTGTGTGTGTGTGTGTGTGTGTGTGTGTGCGTGTGTGCGTGTGTGTGTGCAGTGCATTACGCAAGAGATGGTGTCCAGTCCAATCAAAGTGCAGCTGTACTCTCCGCAGCGTTCGCTCCCCATTGTCACCGCCGTTGTTGCAATGCCCGTCAGCGAGCCCGTCGTCACTGTCAGATGAGCAGCAACACCTCCACAATCTGCTCTGTGTGTGTGCGTGTATGTGTTGTGTGTGTGGTGTGGTGTGTTTCAGGTCTTCTGGTGTACACAAGCAAGTGGTCGTTTGTGGGCAAGGTTCAACGTGATGTGGCCCCTCGTGGCAAGATCGCAGTGCCTGCAAGTCAACGCATGCAGTTGCTCTTGCTCGTTTTGTGTGTTTCCGTTACTCTCTGATGGGGTACAGGGTTCTCCCTTGACTTCTTTGTGTCCTGCACGTGTGTACATTGGACATGTGTTGGATGTCTCCACGACTCTATTGTTCTTGGTCGGATACATATCACTCCTTGTATCAAGGACAGTACGAAACAGCAGCACTAGCAGAAAACTCACGCGCGTAATCTAAACCACAAGGCAAACTGGAGTGTGCGTGTGTGTGTGAATGTGTGTGTGTGTGTGTGTGTGTGAATGTGTGCGTGCGTGTGCGTGCGTGCGTGTGCGTGCGTGCGTGCGTGCGTGTGTGTGTGTGTCAACGCACGTGATCTGGGGAGATGATTCGGCTACGCAGTCTCTCCTTGCTCGTCCATTTCTCGCACCAGCGTCTCCAGCAACCTCGCTTGTGCCAATGGAAGCACCTTCCCCAAGTTTTCCTGTCTCGCATACGCACACACGCGCATATGATTTGGTGAGCGCATGTGTGCTGATGAGAATGCACGTGCGCGAAAAAAGGTTGGAATGGAAGCAAGGCACACAATACCCACACGATGCAAACATTCTACCCACACAATATCCACACGATGCGCGCACATTGCGCGCAGATCGCACACGAAACGCACCGCTCTGAAGCATGTGGCGAGGAATGCGAGTGGCGGCTGTGGGGAGCCTGCGTCCAAACTGGCCAAGTAAGCGGTAAGATGTGCTTGCGGCGACAGCTGTGACACATCTCGCGTGCTGCGAAGAAACAATGCGTAAGACGCAGCCTCAGTCATGTCGGCGCTGTGTTCGGCATCAGTCACTTTGGTGTCGTGGGTTGATGTGGTCGCGTGTTCAGCCCCACACATGCTGCGCACGACTTGGTTGTGGAGCCAAGCAGCGAGTGTGGGCCGTCCATGAAACGCCGTGTTCATCTCGGCAAACGCAGCGCTCATCTGTCAAGTGAGCACATGCATGCACGCGTGTTGACGTGAGGACACATGTGTGAGTCGGTGTGTGTGTATGTGTGAGAGGGTGTGTGTGTGTGTGTGTGTGAGTATGTGTGAGTGTGAGAGAGAGAGAGAGTGTGTGTGTGTATGTGAGAGAGAGCGTGAGAGAGAGAGAGTGTGTGTGTGTGTGTGTGTGTCAAGGGGTCAGCACGGCCAGTCCCAATACCCTCATCATATATCACATGCACGTACGACGTCGAGCTCTGCTGCCGTTGCGGAATGGAGGGCCGCCACAAGTTCACACACGATCACGCTGCTCAAAAACCGGACATCCGCCTCGCCAACCCTGACAGCGGTTTGAGTGAGCACGCATGTGTGTTGGTTTGCATTTGTGGGCGCGTGCGTGCGTGTGCGTACGTGTGTGTGTGTGTGCGTGTGTACGTGTGTGTGTGCGACTTTTGGCGCCGCAGAGAAGCTACATGCTGTCAACAGAAAAAAGCAAAGCAAGTGCTGCGATGTGACATGGCCCGGGTTTGTGTGCTGATTCCAACATCCCACGCGTGCCAGTGCTGCTGCCTCACCTCTCTGAAGCGCGTGTGCCTCCAGTCTTGCCTGCAATGTCGTATGTGCGAACACCAGGCACCAGCACAACCCTGAGGAGCACAATCATAATCATGGTTGTGATCAATCGACGCTTGGTAGACCAAGTAACATGGCGGGAGGGGGAGGGGTTGTTGTTGTTACAGCACCAACCCATAAAGACAGTGCAAGCAAAAGGCGTAGGGCCACTGCAGCACGAACAGACAAACAACAGACAACAACAGGTTCAGGTTCTCAACCACGACGCGGGCGCAACAGGGGTTCAACACGGTACCAACCTCGGTGGGCCATTATCAGCACGGCGGACGGTGATGGAGCCGGCAAAGCCGATGCCTTCGCACTGCACGCCTTCACGTGAAAACGAGACAGATACATCATCTCGCAAGTGGAAAGGCGGCGCCACTGTCGCTGGTTCGCTGCTTGCTGTGGCGGGCTGCGGCCGCACATTCACCGAGACTGTGGCGTCTGCACGCACCACGTCGTCATCTTCCAAAGCAGTGGCTCTCACACGCACGTGCATCGTCGAACCACTGCCAACCGTGACCTTTGCGCTGCTGTTGTCTGCACCAACAACACCACCCACTTCACCACCGCGCTTTGCTTTGGCGTCACCATCGTTGCCATCACCAGGGGCTTCGCTCTCTGCAGTTGCTGCGTCCTGTGTTGGTGAGTCACGGGTTCGTGACTGTGTGGTGGACGCCGGATCCACACGCCAGCAGCACCGCAGCTTCTCGGCCTCGTGGATGGTGCACAGCATGAGGGCTGCGCGCAACGCGTCTGCGCCGACGAGAGCGGCCGGCGCCGGATTGCACGACTTGAGCTCCTCCATCGATTCAGGCTCAGCCATCCTTTGCAGCAGGCGAAACTGGGCGAGCCCGACCAGCTGCGCCAACCTCATCCCCTGCACAAACAAACAAACAAAGCAAACAAACAAACAAACAAAGCAAACAAAGCAAACAAAGCAAACAAGCAAGGAAGGCGGGTTTGAGGAACGTTTGGAGATGGGAGAGGGCAGTGGATGGGGTTGCGTCAGACGCGTGCGATGGGAATGATGATCACGTGCATGCATACAGCACACCATGTACACGTATACGCGTATATGCAAATGCATACGCAAGTAGGTCAACGGATGCATTCACACACACGCACACGTGCAGGATAATATTCGCCAACAACCGTGACACCTATCAGACACGTGCATACGTTGTGGACGAGTGCAGCAAAGAACTGAGGCGGCGCCTGTGCATCACTATCCGTGCGCGATGCAAGGTAGGCGGTTGTGTGCGCGTGCGAAGGGTCCTGAAGGTTCACGCCGCGGTCTGCAGGGCGCTCAGCGATTGTCGCAGCAATGAATTCTGCATACGACTGCGGGTGTTTGCCGTGGATGAAGGCTGAGACGAGCTGGTGGTGCATCCACATGTGCAAGAGGGGTCGCCCAGTGCACTCGCGCACAAGCGAATCAAAGGAAGCGTGCAGCTGTGACAAGCGTGTGTGTGTGTGTGTGTGTGTGTGTGTGTGTGTGTGTGTGTGTGTGTGTGTGTGTGTGTGCATGCGTGTTCGTTGACGTGTGTACGTGTATGTGTGACCGTGTGTGTTGGAGAGACAGTGAGTTGTGAGGGTGTGGGGAGCTTGCATGCACAGTCAGGGTGTGTGTCGACGGAACACATGAAAGGCAGAGCGTTTTCGCACATCACAACGCAGCGCGCGTCACAGACCTTGTTGATGTCCTCGAGGGAGGCATGTTGCAGAATCGCAGCCATCTCCGCAGCGACGATGTGCATGTGCACCCGAGCGTGCTCTTCGCTCACGCTGTCAACCCAGTGTGTGTGTGTGTGTGTGTGTGTGTGTGTGTGTGTGTGTGTGTGTGTGTGAGGGATGGCGGCGAATCACCAAACACGCAGCCTTACGACGCCCACATCACACACGCGGTGGACAATTCCAGTTCATTTGCACACACACCTCTCGTCGTGTTGGGTTCCCGTGGCCCCAGCAGGGTCATAGGTAAACATCCCAGGGAGATACACGCGGCTGCGCACAGGGGCAAGGGGTGAACCAAGATCAGGGTGCGGGGAGGGGGCGAGGACGGTGGCAGTGAGGGTCAAGCATGTGCTGTAATGCAGGGTGGTGTTCATCACTTGGAGCACCAGAGCGCGGCTGAGCAAAATGGAGGTGCCTTTCGTTGACGCCCACACAGGCTCTTACAACATTGACACGGCGCTTACATTGGCTCTGGCTGGTCCTTGTGTGTGACAGTGAGGACGCCGGCGAAGTTGATGCCTTCGAAGGTTGTGGCCAGCGCAGTCAGCGTGACTGCCATGATGGGGCTGCAGTCTCGCCGGTACAGGACGTGTGTGGTTGCAGCGTCCACAGGGGTTTCCTGGCCATGCAATACCCTGTGCCACACGCAAGTTGGTGGTTTTGTGTAGTGTATGTGTGTGTGTGTGTGTGTGTGTGAGTGAGTGAGTGAGTGAGTGAGTGTGTGAGTGAGTGAGTGAGTGTGTGAGTGAGTGAGTGTGCGTGTATGTAAGTGGTAGTTGCAGTTATTGGATAGTGGGCACTCTTCCCTGGCCGTAGTTCAGGCTGGTGACTCAAGCCCCCCCCTAACACACCACACACACACACACACACACACACACACACCCGGTCTCAGTGATGGTTGTAGCCAACATGGAAGGCGTGGCGGTGAATGTGGCGCGACAGCATGAGATGTGCGCAGACGGGCGTTCCAGTGCCAGTGTCATGTCGTGAGCCACATCCTCTGGCAGGTACGCCGGTATTCGCACGTCTTTCACGTCCTGTGCCACCAGCGCAAGTGGCGTGAGCAAGGCCCCCGTCATAAGTGGCAGGGCATAGCCACATGGGGGAGGGGAAGAGAGCGCGCGCGAGCGCGGGAGAAAGAGGGCGGGCGAAGATACGCTCACACTCACAGTACGCACAGACAGGCAGACACACACACACACCTACAGACACACAGACGCACAGACACAGACACAGACACACACACGCACAAACACACACAGACACAGACACAGACACAGACACACACACACACACACACAAATACTGGACGCATACACACAGACACGCGCACACGTGCGTAGAGGGATGTGGCTTACTGCAATGGAGACGGAGAAGGTACGGGGTTTGCAGCTGCTTGCTTCGTTGACGAGATCAAACTGCGTGCGCTCAAGCTGGGCGATCCACGCAAAGGCGTCGCGCGGGGTGAATGTGTACAGGTAGTATGTGCGGTGCTCCGTGATGAGGGCAAACATGGTGTTTTGAGAGCAGAAGCGTGGCCACTTGGGTGCCGCGTGCGGCCAAGCTTTGTCAGCGCAGTCCTTTCCACGCACGATCTCCTTCACGTCCCGCATGTCGATGCGCCCGCGAATCGGCCTACCCATGTCCACCTGGTACTCAATCACGCCATCCCTGTACAGGCACATCCACCGCCTTCGCCAGGCTCGGTGTATCTGCCCCTGCTTCACCACATAGCTGGCCACCAGCGCCTCCCGCATCGCGGACTGCGGTCACTGCGTGAGCGGTGCTGTTGCTGTTGGTGGTGTTGTTGTAATGATGCGATCGCTTGTGAGTGTGTGAATGCTCTTCTTCTTCCTCGCAATCAGAAGAAGCGGTTTTTTCTTGTCGTGTTGTTGTTGTTGTTGTTGTTGTTGTTCTGTGTGTGTGTGTGTGTGTGTGTGTGTGTGTGTGTGTGTGTGTGTGTGTGTGTGTGTGTGTGTGTGTGTGTGTGTGTGTGATGTGACACATGACATGACCTGCCAAATGCTGTTCCCATCGTCTCAATCACTTCATTCGTGTACACTGCAGCGGCTGGCTATGTTCTCCCAGCCTGTTCATTACAATACAAAGCTGCACGGAGGGACAAGGAGATATGCACAGATGAAGCGCAGGCAAGGCAAGGCAGGCTGGTAGAGCAAGGCAAGGAACAGCCGGCTTGGTTGGCCTTGTTCATGTCATGACTCCGTCTTGCTATCTTGAGAAGCCTGTGTAGTTGCAGTTGCTGATGGCGATGATGATGCCTCGTCGTTGGTTGACGGCCGCATAAAGCTTGGGAAGAAGCCGTCATCCTCATAAAACTTCATGCCCGACACCGCAAACAGCATCCCAAAAACCTACAATGCAATTTCACATCACATATGCAGCAGCGAGGGTGCACAACAGAGAACGTGGCATCAGTGCGTGTGTGCGCGCGCGTGTGTATGCGTGCGCGCGTGTGTGTGTGTGTGTGTGTGTGTGTGTGTGTGTGTGTGTGTGTGTGTGTATGTGTGTGTGCGTGTGTGCGTGTGTGTGTGACAGCGAGCCACTCCTTGAACAGCGGCACACACCAAACCAACTGCATGACCGAATGATCTTGACGAGACAGCCAACAAAAACAACCGGCCGGCACTGCGACGCAATCTCAAGTGTCACGATGATACAACGTACTTACCCCAAACACGATACGCTTGCGTGGCGGGATGCGCCTGTAAGCGGCCCACATGACCTCGTCCCACTGCACCTCCAACCAAGCAAAGCAAGCCAGCGACAAGCAACAAGGCAAGAAAGCAGACTGCCCAGTGCCTGCAGCCGGTGCGGAAGAAATACGGAAGATTTCGACAACATTTCTACGATCAAGACGGCGGAAGGTTGCTGCTGACGAGGACGAGGAATGGACGCTGTTGGTGTGTGTGAAGCCATTGCTGTGCGGGATGATGTGCATGTCATCTCGCAACAGCGCGGGGACCCCGAGCCCGCTGTGGAGGAGAAGAAGGCCGCGTTGTTGCAGCAGCTGCAGGCGAATCCAGGGACCTTCTTGCAGCGCTGGGGCTCGCGGCTACCGGCAAAGGCGCTGCGCTACTTTGAGCCCATGACAGACGACTACGTTGTTCAGTTTGGTCTGCGCAAGCTTCAAGTCGACCAACGGCGGCGTGCCACGACCGTTCGCAACAGGTGGCTGTGTGTGTGTGCGTGTATGTTTGTGGGATGGTTTGTATGTGTGTGTGTATGTCATGTTTGTGTGTTGTTTGTATGTCATGTGTGTGTGCGTGTGTGTGTTTGTATGTCATGTTTGTGTGTGTGTGTGTATGTATGTTCGTGTGCACCCACTTGTGCGCTTGTGTGCACACACGTGCACTTGTGTGCATGTGCGACTCCTGGCCCGTGTTCGCGCCCCCTTCTGGTTGCTCTTCCCACAGCTCTTCGTTCCCTTTGGCGCGCACACACGCACACACACCGTGATAAGTGCTGAGCCTCATGACCTCGCTGCTCCATTGCCCAATCCCGTCACCCAAACCACACACGCAGGCGATACCGACGAATGCAGCAGCTGCTGCAAGAAGGCACGTTCTTTTCCGAGGAGGCCATGAAGGAGCGCTGCCCCTGGCTGTATGATCAGTTTGTTGGCCGGTACTTGAGCGATGCTGAGGTGGAGCAGCGTGTGCAAACTGTCACCCAGTGCTGGTCTGATCAGCTTCTTGCCCACACCGTCGGCCAGCGCACAACGTATGTTGAAAAAGTGTGTGTGTGTGTGTGTGCGTGTTGTGTGCGTGTTGTGTGTGTGTGTGTGTGTGTGTGTGTGTGTGTGTGCGTGTTGTGTGTGTGTGTGTGTGTGTGTGTGTGTGCCTGTGACTGACATTGGTTTTTTCGGCCCATATTCCTCATTCATGTGCTTGCATCCCTTTGCGTTCGCCCACCTTGGCCTGCGATGTTGCAGCGAGCGGTTACATCTGGAACAGCAGGCGGCACTCGCAAGCTGGGAGGAAGAAGAGGAGGAAGAGGAGGAAGAGGCTGACGCTGATGGCGGAAAGGGTATACCCGGACTGCCCTCGAGTGCATCGCAGCCAACACGTGCAGTCAGCACCATGGCCGCCACCACGCAGTCATTGGAGCAGCAGCTGCTCGGTACGTGTGTTCTGTTGCGTCGACACATCCTGGGCAGCTTCTGGTTTTGTGGGGTCAACAGCAAGCTTGCCGCACACGCACTTTGCGTTTCTCTCATGCCACACACGTACACCCATACATAACCACACAACTCACACACACTCACACACTCACACACGTACACACACTCGCACTCACACTCGCACTCACTCACACACTCACACACTCACACACGTACACACGTACACACGTACACACACCACTCACACATCAAAACATACCAAAACACAACTCACATACACACACTCACACACACGTACACACATACATAAACACACACGCACCCACATACATCACACGAAACACAACTCACACACACACACACACACACACAACTCACACACACACACACAACTCACACACACACACACACACACACACAACTCACACACACACACACACACAAACACAACTCACATACCCACACACAACTCTCTCACGCACAATCACAATCCCTCGCACCCGATTCCTCGCAAACAACGCAGGGGACGAGTCGGAGGAGGCACGCGACCAGGAGCGAGCACAGCTGAGCAACGAGGAGCGAGAGCGACTACGAGAGGAGTTTTCTCGCATGATGCAAGAACGGTTTCTGCGCGGGGAAGATGAAGAGTTCTTTGACTACAGCGCTGTTGACGACAACCCAGACCTGGATGATCTCGCCGCACGCGCACGGGACGAGCAAGACGCTTACTTTGACGCAGACTGATGCCCTCAGCCCTGCATGCGTGTTTATGTGTGCATGTGTATGGTGCGTGAATGTGCCCATCTGGCCACACGGCATATCCGCTTGCTCTTACGTTGACACCACCATGTGTCACCTGGGTGAAACTTGTCTCTGCACGTCAACTTATGATTAGACACACCAGGCCACCGCACACGTGCACACTTTCCTTCATTCGGTCTGGGCGGTTGAGATGCTGTATTGAACAGCAGCAGCACAACAGGAAGAAATAAGAGGGGAAGGGGAACGAACGTACACACACCTCTTGTTTTGAAGGGAGTGGTACTCAGAGCTGTTTTCAAAAGGAGATAACGAAGCCGTCACAACAGAGGCGCGCAGACAGCATACATACGCACAGCAACATGTGGTCAAGATGATGGTGGTGGCTGCACAAGAGCATCACGATACATTGCGCCACAGGACGTGTTACATTACACATTACACATTACATTACACTGCTACTTGGATATGGCGACATTCACTTTGCTGTTCACGTCGAATAACTGACACACAAACACATGGGAGAGGAGAGGTCGCGCACACACACACACACACGCACACACACACACACACACACACACACACACACACACACACACACACACACACACACACACACACACACACACACGAAACATGGTGAGAACAGCGCGCGCAAAAGCGCTTCACAGGTGCAGATGATTGACAGACCAACACACACGCCATCATGTGTTGTTCGCAAGGGAAAGAGCATGGACACGTACGTCGTGAAACGTGTGGAGGAGGTCGTCAGATGGAGTCTGGAAGGAATTGATGGCGTCGCAGAAGAAAATAAACGTCTGCACGCACGTGCATAAGTGAATGGATGGATGGATGGATGGGTGTAGGATGTGTGTATGGATGGATGTATGGATGTGAGGGAGGAAAGGAGATCGAATGTGCGTGCGTGTGCGTGCGGGTCAATGTGGGTGTTCTATCTTCACCACCTGTCGTTAACAGAAAAACACACAAAGGTTCACTCACGCGAAGTGCGCCGTTTGGGTTGCGCTTCACGAGATGACACATGCCCATGAAGGCGTGCTCCTTCTCTTCGCTGTCGGTGATGTCACGCAGTGCCATGCTCCAGTGCGCCAGATACTCGCTCAGGTGCTGCGCCAGAGCATCCTGCCAGAACATGCTGATGCGACCAATTGTGATGGCGACGTTTTCCAGCAGCGTCTTGGCGGTCATTGGGCGTGTCATAAGCTGGATCAGCGTCGTGCACATGTCGTGGCGCTCAAGCAGCGGCTGTATCTGCCCCTCTGTTTCACACAAGCCCGCGTTGGAGGGGCGCACGCGGCGGCGGCGGCGGCGGCGGTGGTGGTGGTGGTGGTGTGTGTGTGATGTACGTGTGTGTGCATGTTTGTGGAATGTGAGCGTTCACCAAGCCCACATCCTATGACGATGGTCATTGACAAGCAAAGCGAGCCAAGAAAGCACACGCGCGCACACACACACACACAGACATGTACAGACATAGACAGACAGACACACAGAAACGCACACAAAACACATGATGTGATCGTACTGAGCTGCATGGCGATTTCTCCGATGCACCAGACGACGTTGTTGCAGACCGCAACCTCGGCCGGGTTCATGTTCTGCGCCATGAGCGCAAACACGTCGTCTAGGTGCGGCTGGACAAGGCAGAACGCCGCTTTGCTCACATCACCCAGCAGCGCAAACGCACTCTGCCGCACATCAGGCACGTCGTTCTGCAAACACATACCCACGCACGCACGCACATGGAGCACAAGGCGCGGTCACGAACACGTCAACGTGTGCACACGCGTGTAAATATGCGTGTGTGTGTGCGCGTGCGTGCGTGCGTGCGTGCGTGTGTGTGTGTGTGTGTGTGTGTGTGTACTCGTGTGCGTGTGCCATCAGTATGAAGAGGGCACCATCACAAACACCACGAAAGACGACAGCGGTGACACTTCGGATAGCGCGCCGTGCACCACTCGTACACGTCTTTCAATGTCACACACGAGCGTGCAGAAGTGAGGCACGTCCATACGTACCGTCATTGCCACTTCGAGCAACGCCAGGAGGTTTGACTGCTGGATCAAAGGGCCCATGTGCTCCTGAAGCGCCTCAACCATGGCTGAACGAGGTGGGGGGTGGGGTGCACATCGTCATTCAGCAGCAAAGTCGTGGGAAGCACAGAAATCCCCCATGCAATGTCCAAGAACAACTCACAACGGCAGAAGCGCGCGCGCGCGCACGCACGCACACACACACACACACACACACACACACACACACACACACACACACACACACACACACACACACACACACACACACACACCACTGATGTGATCGACAGGGACGACACAAAAGTCTGGGTTTGGATAATCAATGCTCGGGTCCTGGTGGGCAAACTGGTGTTTGGAGTGCACATGCAAATAAACAAGCATGAACAGACACATGGACACACACACACGGATACACACACACACACGCACGCAAATGCATACGCATACGCACACACACACACACGCATGCACGCACGCACGCATACGCATACGCACACGCACACACACATCACTGGCCACTAGCGAGCAGCATGACGGCCCACACGAATGTTCATGCATGCCCAACCTGTGCTTGCTCGAGCGTCTGTTGTGTGAGCTTGACACAGTGCTGGAAGATGTCTGGGGCAAACGGGTGATACGCCTCTCCGAGCGCGCCAGCAACAGCAGTCAGGCACTGGTGAAGGGCCAAGAGTACACGATTTCGTGAGAGCGGACACAAACAACACGACAGACACACAGGGACACAAAGCAGGTGGGGGGCGGGACGAACAGACAGGTGGAGGGAAACGAAGAAGAGGCGCGCACAGATGAGAATGGCCGGGGGGGGGGCAACAAAGCGAGAAACATTGTTGGCTTCAACACGTGCACTCCAACACGCCCAGTGCCACGTGCGATTGTGTCTGACCTCGAGAAGCGCGAACAGTTCGGTGTCGTCGTCCGCGAGGTGCGAATACCGTTCAAGCAGTGGCGGCATCAGTCGCTCCACCAGCTCCTGCATGGACACATGCACACAATCACACATGCATGAGGAGGGCACAACAACCCCAGCTCGTGGAATCATTCGTGGCAAGCAGTACACACAACGGTACGTTCACAACGGTACATTCACACAAACACAGACACATACACACAGACTGCACACTGCTGAGCACGGACGCTTACGGGATGAGCGAGTGCCGGGCCAACGCTGTCTGCCAACGTGCCAATCGCATCGTACAAGACCACCATGTTCTTTCGCTGTTGT